CGGCGTCAGAGGCACAGCTGACGGCGTCAGAGGCACAGCTGACGGCGCCAGAGCCACAGCTGACGGCGCCAGAGCCTTAGCTGACGGCGTCAGAGGCACAGCTGACGGCGCCAGAGCCACAGCTGACGGCGCCAGAGGCACGGCTGACGGCGTCAGAGGCACAGCTGACGGCGTCAGAGGCACAGCTGACGGCGCCAGAGCCACAGCTGACGGCGCCAGAGCCACAGCTGACGGCGCCAGAGCCTTAGCTGACGGCGCCAGAGGCACGGCTGACGGCGCCAGAGGCACGGCTGACGGCGCCAGAGGTACAGCCGACGGCGCCAAGCTGACGACGCCAGAGGCACAGCTGATGGCGCCAGAGACACGGTCGCACAAATGCGTTGACGTGGCCACCCATGCTGGTGTCGACATGATGACTTATACATAATGCCGTCCGAGGATATATTTAGGCATCAGTCGCACAAACCAGACAACCATATCCAGCTCCTGCTCGTGTCGAAGCAAGTGGTGATGGACAGCGTGACTCACCTCAACGCCGCCATTCTTGCCACACTTCCCCCTCTCCCCCACCTCGATGCAGCCACATTTGCTGAGCCAAAGATATTCGTGCTTTATTCGCTGAGCGTGTCGTCTGAAGCGCCAGAAGTCCGGTGATGCAGCGGTTGGCGGGGTTACAGGCATCGTGATTTATATCGGTGAAGTATGTACGTGTAGGATTGCAGTACTTTGTGTCAGCTCAAAACCCAGCTTACCGGCGAGCTCCGAACCTGCAAAGTGACATCTTCCAACTTAAAACACCATTGTGATGAAAACGATCACTAAAAACAAGTCTGCAATCGAATGGTGTTTAATTGGAGTGACTTGGAATATAAATGTCGTAGCCGGGAAGTGCCTGCTAATGTCTTCTTGTCATTTCCCACAACGTTCTCAAATTTTAAAACTCAAAATGATGAAAACGATAACATCTAAATGTCAAAGTGGTTCATTGACGGTGATATAAGGTGATCCAAACTCGCGGAAAACTACCACCTGGAAATGCCCAGACTTCATAAAAGGTCGGCTGAGCCACCACACGGAATTTTCTGAACGGTACCTGTTATGAAATATCACCATTCTGGCTTTCATAACGGCATTTTGATGACACCTTGTAGTGTTGGCTGTCATGATGGCATTAAAGCGTGGTATTAACATCTCTGAACATCCACTTCAAGATGTCTTTCAGGGGGATGCAGGGGACTTGGTTCTTAAGCTTCTTAAGCCCGACTTTTTATGTCTCTTATTGATTTAAAATGAAAGGCCTTCAGATCACCTGCTTTCGGCACTGTGAGTTTAAAGTTATCATGTTAAGTTAACGATCTTCAATGTGCCAGAAGGTGCTAGATAAACGAAATTGTAGGGTTAAATAACGATTTTATGGACGGTACTCAACATTTTGAGCTGTGCTCACCCTCAGGAGTCAAGAGATGTGCTTGTTATTTAATATGTCAAGAGCTCTGCTCATGTTCTTGAGGAAGAGCACGGTTCGAAAATTACGTGCTTGCAGATAACATGGAAATTATACGAGACGGCATAGCTTTATGTCTCGTCGATGTGTTAAGACGTATCAGTGCATATGATAATAAAACATGTGTGAAGTCAAAGTTGAGTTGCTGTATCTAGTTTGGGTTTCAGATTATGACAAGTATTGTTGGACGTGAAAGAGGATGCAAACAGACAAAGAAATGACCTTTTTGACTTCCCTTTGCTTAGGCATTTGCCTTTAAGACGAGATTTACGAAAGTTGCGATGTTCTTTTAAATCTTTGGGGCTTAAAGGCCATGCCACTGGAGCATTTCGCCGTGTTCAGAGTCACGCGACAGATCAGCAACGCTACATTAGGGTCAATTTGTTATTACGTCAGCAAGTCAATAGGTTACAAGGGCCGTTGGAACAAGCTTCCCAGTGAAGATTGCCAGCATGAGCTCAGTGCTTTCAAAATCAGTCTGCACAAGTACTTCGTTGAAAAGGCGATAGCTTTTTACTAGTCTAAAAATCCAGACAAAAAGGGCACATCCCAAATCTGTTCATGTTGTTTGAATGACAGACATCGATGACTGCCGACTGGCTGTTATGACTGTTTTCAAAAAATGCGACGTTGACCGCTCTCCGGTCGATTTGCGGTTTCGCTATGTGTCTGACGATGTCGGGCTGTCTGGATAATCTGCAGCCGGTACACGCACCTGCACGGTGCAGTCTGCTTCACTTCGCTATCCGCTCGGGTGGGCGAGATCTGACACCAACCCTGAAAAATCACTCCCAAACCGTCTAATCTGCCATTTGCGCACGCGTGCCCGCGCGCATCATCGCGCGTCACTTTACCCTTCTGTTCTTTTTCGCGTTGAAATGTTTTTCATCCCTTTTTCGCCCTGACCACCCGCTTTTCAAGCTACAAACTGAGACTCGACTCGGGTTTCGGCGATTTTTAGCAGTCTGCAATTTTCGCGCTTCCCGTGTTAAACCAATGGAGCACCGAGGGTATCGCGTCCGTCGGATTCGGCCCCAGATTTCACGCAGTGATGCACCTGGGGATGTCAGCAGCATACTTTAACACTCCAAAAGTCGCAACTTCAAACTGCGTGAGACGAGAGGTAGTTTGAGCACAGACCAGCGCACCTTCCTTCGCACTGACGGCTCCCGACGCGATGGCCGCATAGGGGCTGCCTTCGTACATCATGATTACCACAAATCAAACCGCCTGCCAAATTATAATACCGTGCATATGGCTCAACTAACAGCAATCCTGACAGTCCTGCTCCACATCAAGCAAGGTAACGTACAAAGGGCAGTCATATGCACCGACTCTCATTCGTCGTTACAAGCTCTTATCACTCTTCATAATTGATCCCGCCTAGCTTTAGACGGCGTACGACGAACGCTCTGCTCCCTTCCTCAACAAACTCACGTTACACTTCTCTGGATACATGAACACGCAAATATTCATGGAAACAGCTCTGCTGACGAGGAAGCAAAACGAAGTCTCATGTTTTTGGAATGTTTTCATCTTCATTGTCTCGTTTCTGATATTCTTGCAGTCATTAATTTACATTTTCGTCTCTTTGTCCAACCCGAATGGGATCAACGCGCTCATCAACACCATGGCCCAATTAAACCCGTGCTTCAGCACTTGCCGACAATTAATGAAGATAATCGCCTCAAGGAAGTGCTGTTTGCCGTACTGGGTATCGGTCACGCCAAAATCACCCACAACCACCTTTTCGAGCACACTCCTCCTCCGCTGTGTCATCGCTGCGACATCCCATTCACAGCAGACCACTTCCTCCTCGTTTGTCCGGTATACGAACGATCAAGACAACCGCTCATCAATTACACCAACGCTAATCGGCTTCCATTCAACCTCCATTCTCTCCTCGGTGATTCTTATCCTGATTTGCTCGGTCTCCTCTTTGGGTTTTTACACAATACAGCAGATTAGATAATTTAATCTAAATAAAGGGTTTTTCCTGCATAATTTGGCAGAGATTGCAGATTTTCCCCTTTTGCCTGGGAATCCTGGTTTTCTTAGTTAGGACTTCCCAGGACTCAGTAATATCACACAGCTCTACAAGGTCGTGCCTTGCTTCCTTGCTTTGCGCCGGACAGCATAAACCGGTTTAGCGTAATCTTTCCCTGGCATTATGCCGGAAGTGAATGCGGAATTGATTTAGGGTCCGTCGAGGGAAAAAGGGGCCTTGCATTGGCCTATCGAAAAAGGAAAAAAGCTTGTATGACGTCACTTACGCCACATTTGATGACATCAGTGCAAAGGGAGCCCTTGCCTTAGCCAGCTGACTGTTTTACGTTCCATTAGTTTGAACGGTGGTTATGCGGGATTGTAAATATTTGTAAATGATAACCGGGGCCGTGCCGAGGGCCAGACGATTTAAGCAGCCATGACGATCATGGCCCTTTGTCAACGAACGAAGTCCATTTCATGTTGACGAAAGGCAATTCATTTTTTAGTTTCTATAGCATGAAAAAATATTTTCCATCTTAGCACCATAGCAGTCATGTAGGGGAGGATAGAGGGGGCGAAGGAGCAGCGGTACTGGGGGTGTGCGCCTCTTCTGATCGGAAAGTAAGGGCAATCTTCTAAAAGTCGCTTCAGGGCGGCGAAGAAACTCTTCCATGGCGGCGGCGGCGCATATTCTTGGTTGTGGTGACGGGGCCGTGCTAGTCATGAAGGACTTAGACTATTCCCGTACCGCGGAGCTTTTTAGTTCATCCTATCAAAGCTTCGTGCGTCTCATCCCCCCATGTGGATAAAGCTTATCGCATCATTCACTTTGAGGTGTAGGAAATTTCTGGCAGTGCGCATGACATGATGCATTTTTCCTCGTCTCTCTACAGAAAATGTATGATGTGCATATTCCGCTCTATTTTCATGTGTCAGGCCATGTCATTCCGCGTGAAATTAACCTTTTGTGCCTCTAATAACTTTGCATGGACAATAAACAACACCTTTTGACGGTCATGATATAGGACCGTCTCCCTAGAAAGTTGCGGTAGAATGCACATAATTCTAAGCTTTTTATAAAGCTGCGAGTTCACATGGGTTTGAAATGGGAAAGTACTCTCATTAAAGATCATATCGGTCGGTTACAAACATACCTAACATCTGAAATATTTGGTTATGGTTGAAATCCGGGGAGAAATCAGTCTTTGTGGGTAGGTCAGATCAACGTTATCTTCTAAGGTCCCAACCGATTTAAGATAGTAACACCCCTGGAGTGTTGACGCCTTCCTCGGGCCGCCCAATATTTGCACGCGTCTCACGTTATGCTTACGGCCTTGCGAATATACAAATTCCTTTCATCTTGGATGTTAGCTGACTGAACTGTGCCCCATGAGTCGAAGAAATTCCTCAATGGCGTAAGGTCATTTTGAACTGCTGCTGGGCAGCGCAGAAACTCCATGCGATGAAGTTTTCTTTTGTAAACGTGATAATTCCCTGGCTGTTTCAGATTGATACCACTTGATACATTGAGGTCGCCGGGTATGGCGTGCTCGTTCGGGGAGGAGCAGTGGTTGATAGCTTCCGGCAGCCAGCGAAAATATGGAACTACATCGAACCTAAAGCCTGAGCGGCTTATTAGATACGACGTGCAGGACAACGACACACTGCAAGGCATTGCCTTGAAACACAACGTTACGGTAGGTTGCGGCGGTTCTGGCGCGGTGGGTTTGTGTGTCTTCAGCGTTATGCCAGTGTTGTGTGTGACCATACGGGGTATTTGTCATAGGATGCAGTTTGATATTAATGTATCCAAGATCAATTATTACAAGTATTGTGTTGCAACAAGTATTTAAATCATGTGGTGGTGGATGACCAAGCTGTGAACCTCCATCGCAATTTCCACAACTCAATTTTGCGTGGCTTAATTGATCAGTTATTAGCATATTACACACTAGTAAATGTGTAGACTTGAATGTTTTTGTTAAATGTATGATTCGTGGATGGTTTTACGCTTTGGTCTTTGCTTTTGTTGTTAGCAGCATTGCTATTTCTAACATCATTAGAGGCTGAGTAATGTGATGGCTGCAAAGCTTTTGCATACATGTGAGTTAAATTCACGGCTAGTTGATGGTGCTGCCTCATAAAAAACATGCTTCTGGTTTTTTTCCTTGCCTTGGATGACAACCTAAAGTGATGTCAAGCATGCATTTGTGAACTCATGGCTGTGGAGGTGATTTTGAAGTATTTTCTAAGGCACTGAACATATTCTGTGTACTCAAAATCAAGCGAGGCTGGTTACAGGCCCAACAGCTAAAATATGGTCAGTGGCATGCTTGAATTAAAGTAGTGGGTTTGCACCCAGGCCAGTGTTTCCACTTCATTTTGTCACCCAGTTGTTACATAGTTATTTGCATTGTCACCCACTTTGGGCTTTTGAACTTTGGGCAGAACAGATTGCTGTGTGCTTTGGGTGATCCAGGTGCCTTTTGGCCACCATTTGGATTTATAAATGTTTTAAAAGACTGATTGTTTAATGTATTTTGTGGTGGCTACATAATGTGGCACTTCTGAACACAAATGTGTGCTGCATCCCAGGTATATAAGATATGAATTCTCTGACATCAAACTTGGTGTGTTGCCACCATTTTGATTATGACCCGTGCTATCCTTCTTAGGACAAGTGTCAGAATGGTCAAATTCAGGCAAAGTTTTGTTGTAGGTGGTGTTGGTTCTGTTATGACCTGCGTCCGGTTCAGCCCATGGGACTGACCCTTTTTCAACAACAGTGAAGGTGCTTAAGATATCTTCTGGTCATTTTTTCAATTCAAGTTGGTAATGGTTTTTAATGTTTTTGGAACTGCCAGGCTTGCCAACATTTGTCACCCTTTCTTAGTGTGAGTTTTCTTAAAAACACAACCGCATGGTACAATGAGTTTGCACACTTTTTGGTCAGATGTTAGCAAGATTTGCATAATTGTCCACATTATTCATGCAGATTTGAGGCATTTTTGGTGTATTCTGGTGGGGCAAATGAAGCAGGTAGCCCTACATCATATGACCCATCTGGACTATGATCTTGTTAAATGTCTGGCAGATGGAACAGCTGAAGCGGACCAACAAGTTGTGGACAAATGACAGCTTACACGTGCGTCGCCAGCTGCTAGTGCCAGTGCCGCTGGAGCCGAGCTCCGTCTGGTCAGACAGTGACGACAGTGTGAGCAGCCCTGCCTCGTCCGACTGTCGCAGTCTGGTTTCTGGGGCAGCGCCAACAGATAGTGACGCCGCTCCGCCTTCGCGCACCGCCGCCGACTTCCTGAAGCAGGTGGACAGCGTCATCGCCAGCAGTCGGAGAAACGTCTCACGACTGCAGCTGGAGTAACACTGGAATGGTAAGCTGGAGCTTGGGACTTGAGAAGGTGTCAGTCATTTGTGTTTCCTGTAGGGTGTGCCATACCACACATGCTTTTCTAAGAACACAGGGCCGGTGATAACTTGGTGCGCCATAACAAGAAGAACACGATAGTGAACAAATTTTTCAAAGCAATGGTAGCTAGGCCTGCGCCAGATGGATTGCAGTTGTCCCTATTCCTCGTACCTTAGCGATGCTGCTGCCACCTGGCAGCACGAGGAAAATTCAGCTGAAAGCCGTGAGAACTTATCACGGCTGAGAAGGTTAGTTTTGTCGCATTGGCCTTAACCGTGTGACGAAACTAGTGAGAAGAAGCTTCGAAGGCCTCATTTGTCCGGCGTCTCGATGTCCCACAACAAATTGAGGAGATTTCGAAACGTGTGTTTGTCGCGCGACGATCATATCTGGTGTGTTGCTGCGCTGTGTGGACGTGTAATGCAGGATTATTGTTTTGTATATTACACGCGGCCCAGATCCCCACCGCAGTAATTCTAGCAATTTGACTTAACAGCTTTAACGATGCTTCGAAAATGCGCCCTTCTATCCGGTGTCATAGGGCAGCACGTTGTTATAAGATGACCATTGAGAGCATCACGCAAGGGTGTGGTTTTATACAGTGATTGGGGGCTCACACGATTTTAGGTGAAATTTTCGATGTTTTGTCAAAGCCGTGCTGTTAAATTTGTAGAATGACCGCGGACCTGGCCCACCTTAAATATACAAAATGACGATCCTGACAATACTCACCCGCACATTACAACGCACCAGATTTTACAGTTGCGGAACACACTCACGTTCCACACGTCTCAAAATCCCCTCTCTTTGTTAAATGGACATCAAGACGCCTTGACGCTTCAGACCACGTTTTAGGACTTTGTGGACCGTTCCATTTCGTTTCCGTCCTGTGTAAACAGACGAAGGGGGTCAGCAATGGTGGAAGGGTTGAAACATCGACATGTTCATCTGTGCCGAACCAGTTTTGTGGTGTCGCGAGAAGGACAAGTTACGTATTATTTGTTGTCAAGAGTCAGTTGCTAGCAGCGTGAGTTGTTGAAAAGTTAGGCATTCATGCCCGTCTCGCCTGGTTGTTGGTGAGCAGGGCTACCCTCGCATCAGGAGCCGGCCGCACATTCTTTTCGTCCAATCTCACGGCACGGGGATTAGACGCTGGGTATTTCAGAGCTGAGGATAATGCTTTTCGGATGGATACCGGTCCCATCAGTGTAGTAGGAACGAACGGAGGAATGGATGACAAATCTGTGGCTTACCTGAGCCAGGTTATATTAGAATAACCATAGACTAAATCCAATCGTCTGCCTAATTGAACTGTGCTTTGACAGTTGGAAGGATCTCACCGATGCCAGTGAGGAGATGTGCACCAAGAAGAGCACGTGGCTGTGATAGCCGAGCCCGGCATAGAATACAACGGACCCTTAAATCCCTTAAATGTATGAAGGCAATGGACCAGTTCAGTGAACTCCAGGCAATACCCTGCGAGTAAAGCGGAAAACGTGACTGTTCGTGGGTGTGATGGCACAGCACAAAACCCTGCACGCTTTGGTGGTATTTACCGGCTGTTTGAACTCGTCAACAAGAAGCTTGCTCACTGATTCATTTGCGCCAGCTGCGTACAAACGAGCTCAGTCTGCGACAGCTGTTTACGGAGCCCGGTAGTGTGACACCTGGATCGAAGTCCTTCACGGGGCCGCTCGGCAAGGCAGCTGCAGAAGTAGTGCATGAGATGTGTGTCGTCCAATGCAGTCCTACCAGTGGCGACGTCACCGAGAGACGGTAGCTGGAGCTGTTGACCTCAGCTCTGACTGGCGGATCCCTATGACCTGTTTGACAGTGTTCAGACCGGGACATTTTCGTCCGACGTAGCGACGCAAGTCCGGTCGACAAGTCACGGAAAGAAAGCTTAGGTCCTCCGCTCAAGGCATAAACGTGGCTGTTTCTTATTTGCTCTAAGTCGATGTTTTTCTGTTGAACCTAAGTCGTCTCAAGATTTAAAGCCAGTGGCAATTTCATCAAATAATGCTTACCTTCTATACCATGCTGTCGCTGGGTCTATGTGCTGATGTGATTGATCATGGGAGATCGGAAATGGTGTTGTGCTGACAGAAATATTACCTATGTTTAGGACGAGCCGACACGAATAGGTCTGTTCACCCACTCCGTTGCCAGCTATGAAAACCTTTGTCGACGCCTAAATGCGTGGATTTGCTTGGGCAGCAGGATGTCATGTACCTCGCTGGCGGCTCCGGCACGGTGCAGCCTTGCTACAGACATATACGTCGATTACAAATTCAAGCGCCCGGCCTCAGGACACGGCAAAGTATATGGTGCGCCATCACGTGCCGATGTTGTTACACAAAAAGCAAAAACGACGCATGCGTCAGTTGGTCAAGGCACATCCTACATTTTCTGACGTGCCTGATGCCTCTCGCGGACCACATGCAAGAGATAGTCCGTCATGGAGCAAAATACGTACTGGTTTCATCAAGAGGCTTTGCCTTCGGCGACGCCGAAATAACATGGAATGGAATAACCAGTGAGGATGCAGAGATCAGAGCCCGGGCCGAAAATGGCATCGAAAAATGCCGTCTAAAGTCACAGAGACATGTTTTTGACTGTTCGCTCTGCCGTCTATGAACTTCGCTTCTTTACAATGGCATGTATCTAAAATGCAGAGATTTCTTCATCGTACCTCTTTTCAGTATGTCGCAGGCTAGGTTTCTTGAATTACCTGAATGAGCTTATGACTGCACTGGCAAAACGGAAAAATGCAGTACATTTCAAGCTGTGGGAATCCTCCTCAGTTCATTACACCACATGGACACAATAAATATGCGGCTCTAGGAAAGTGAATGCATTTGTCACCTGCCACGGTCACCACAATTTGCATTTTCACTGCCTGCAGTACAGCATTTGAATGCGTCGCAGTAGCTACAAAGCCATATTCGTGTTATTCGTATTCAGAAACCAAACTCAGGCTCTTATGTGGTGCTTTTTATCCGTACGAAGGTGCATGAACAGAACGGAATAAACACCACGTGACATTTCCCTCTTGCCACAATCCAGGTCTCATGGATAGGTAGTGTTCCACATGTGAAGATATTTAAGGGAATATTTCACATTTGGGGACATTGAATCAATCAGATATGATAGACAAGTTCACTTATAACTAACGGTATCCTTTTTAAGTGGAAAAGACTGCTGTGGGACAGTACAATTTTATGTTAAGTAAATGTCCTTCTCAATGGGTCATGATTTGATTACGTCGTCGTACCTTACACAGCATTGCTTGAGAGTCAGTTGATGACCGTTATATCTGGAAATCTCGCCCACCAACGCCAGATATGAACACCACGACAATGACTTTTTTCTTGGCGTGGATCGCCGCATGGCTTATGAAATCACAGGATTTCAGTGACGTTATTATGACGTCATGAATGCCAAGGGGACCTTGACATGCTCTTTCCGATATGCCTTTCCTCATTTTCGCGGGTGTGTGGTCCAGAAACTAAAAGGCCTTAGGTTTGAGAATGGCAGGGTTGTGAGCAGCACCGAAAAGTCTTCAAGGTGACTATTTCAGTTCAAAACCCCATATAGATGTGGAACACTCCCTGTAAGGCAAGCATTAGGTAGAATGGAGGAAGCTGATTTGCGACTTTTGGAATGTTTTTGAGCGCAAAAGATTGCTCTAAGTAACACGCTTTCACTATTTAGTAAATATGCTCCCGAATGGGTTATCGTCTTAATGCGTTATAGAAGGCTTCTATGCCGTCAGAGCCGTTGCCAGACTAGCCATGTCGGCATGTAGCTTATAAACGAGACGAACTGATGTCTGAAATAGGACATAGCGTTGAACTGCAGGGAATTGTCATGAAAACGACTACCTTGTTCAAAACCCCATGTGAATGTGGAACATTGGCTCTAGGAACTAACAAAAAAAAACATTTATTTGCTTGCTTATATCTTTGACCCGCAAAAGGCTGCTAAGTCTGGCCCATAACCCGGCAAAAAGCCCGCGGGTTCCTGCGGGTCAAATGTGGCGGGGTGGTGGGTTGAAAAATTGCATGTCTAGTACCATGTTTGGTTCCATGTCCGCTGAAATTCTGAGTCTGGTCACTTGTGTTGAGATTATTTTATAGACCTCTATTCGTTTTGACTAGACTACTTTTCCACTAACTGCTCACAAAACATGTATTAACCTCCTTTTTCAATGTCGACTTCAGAGAAACCGTGCTTTGTACCACCATATTTGAGCATTCGGGAGATAGTGCTCTATTGTATGCCCTGGCGCTGGCTAGGTTTGTATTGTTTCGAGCAAATAGGTTGGACATTTGATGAAATGCAATTTCGCACCAAATGGTATGCGCTGGTTCACCATGTCGCGCAGCTGACGGCACACCTGGTTGTTCGACCTTTGTGAAATCTTTCAGCGTTATGGGGCTCCGTTCACGGCATGATAATGGCTGACGAACTGAGCGCCCCCATTTCTTTCCGCATTACTTGTTCAACCTTTGTGAAGTCTTTCAGCGCTACGGGGCTCCGTTCGCGGCATGATAATGACTGACGAACTGAGCGCCCGCATTTCTTGCCGCTTTGCACCCGCATTTATTCTGCGACCTTCCAGTCTTGCGCTACTGTCGTACCCGTACAAGCAAACCCGGCAGTGAGCGTAGAGCACGATATAAAACTGCACGAGCGGTTTGATGCACACTGCACGGAGATTGCGGCCCTTGCGTCAGCTGGCCCCGCCTGCCTTCCATGGGTGATGGCAGTGACCCCAGGTGTAACATGCATTCACAATCAGCCCTGCATGTTTTGTGTTGCAGGTGATTGCTTAGTTGTATCGCTTATATTGTATTGCTTAGTTGTATAGGTGATTGCTTTGTTGTAGGTGATCGCGAGCGTAATTCGCTCTTCCTTTCCCCATTTCCAGGATGGCGGGCACCACCACGGATTCAACGCTACTTCATGAGCTGTGGGCTGCGAGGTCACCCGTGATGGGCAGAACGCCAGTGCTTCAGGACGGGAGAAGACATGGCAGAAGCCCCAGCGCATACCGTATGTCTGCTCTGAAGCCCAGGCTAGAAATCCAGGAGTCGGTATGCATTTGTGCATATCATATACATGTTTGTAAGGGTGCGGCATGGTAGACCGGTGGATTACATTTTGCCGTAACACTGCATGCATTGTCGTGATTTAGAGGAAGATTATATTTCACTGAGTGGTATGCTTGCTATCATTCAATGAATAATGGATTGAACGGGTGATGCCGCCGCTCATGCACGCGTGACGCTTACTGTGGGTATAATATGCCGTTCATGCAGTGTCGACCTTTGCATTTAGCTGGGAAAGTATCATTTTACGCAATAATGTGTTAGAAACCTACTCATCTGCGGTGTTTTCATTATTAGTGATTTAAGACATCCAGCCGCAAGCGGGGCGTGGCACATCCTGGATCTGGTTTGTTTGGATGCAATGCTCATGCCATCTAGTGTGTCGTTGCTATGGTTACGACTGGAAGTGCTATCCGTATCAGCGAGCGAGCGTGTCGGTGGTGGAGACTGAGTGGAATCGTTGTAAAATTGAAAGAAGTTTAAAGAAACCCGTTTCATTGTAGGGTATGTGCAACGCGTATTGCTGCCGTGCGCGAAATGTATACCACTGCCGCAAACGAATGCACGTCGCTTGTATTGGGGCATGCCGAGCACACACGTGCCCGGTATGTCCCACACGCGTGCCCGGCTTTCAAACCGAGATGGCATATGGTTTAAGTTCGTCACCATTGACATTCGGGTAAGTGACGGACATCCGTGTCCACGACGTTCATGTGCCTGCGGCTTTCAGGCAAGTGGATGTCGAGGAAGGCTGTTGTTAGGCTGTGTGTACATGCCGGGCATCCTAATGCGATGATGCGCTGAGCTTAACGGATATGACAGCATGCTGCCATGCCAACTATAGCATGTGGTTCGGGTCGCCTCAAGGGGCCTGAACGCTCCTGGGCGGTTGTCAAGCTAAGAAGCGAATATCCAAGGCAATAAACGATATTTTACCCATAATACGGTCGTCATTTGATCAGTGCTCCCCGTACCCTGTAGCACAGTACAATCATCGAAGATGTTTGTGGATGAGGCAGCGGGTCCATGTCTTTTAACCGTAAGTGTGCCAATGGATGTTACCCTTACATTTGACTGGTTGCCGCATTCGGGCAGTGATGTCACTGCCCCACCGCACTACCACATTGAGGAACCGTGCCAGTCACGACATCTGTGGACATTCCGCCGATGTTCCATGACCATGTGCCGTAGTCTGGGTCGCGAGTTGACAATCGCCAAGGCGGTGTGTGCATCCTTGTGCCTCTTCCGAGACTACTGCACACGGTGAGCCGCAGCAGAAACGCTGTCAACAGTGTAGGGGTAGGCTGATTCTGAGAAAACGGGAAGATCCAAGTCCAGCACAGACGAGCCGAAGGTATCGAGCCAGATGAACATATAGGGTCTGTAGTCTGCGCCGTCGACAGCGCAAATTCCTCTGAACATGCGAGAATAACTTAAGACCATTCTGGGGGCTTCTGAAAGGTCGGGGATGCCCCGGTAGATAAATGTATTCAACCCCCGGCAGGGGCACAGTGCCTTTCGGCCAAACAGAAAGATACTAAAGCCAATGCGGAGGGCCTTGTGTGATCGAGAAATGAGACTGCATGTGAGCATGTAAGTTCCCGGCAGTAATATAGGGTCTTGAAATTATGACGCGCCTGCGACCGATGTTACTGGGATCCACCCAGGCTCGGGGGTGTCCGAGCTGTCAGATAGTGCCTCCGGTGCCTCCGATAGGAACGTGTGGTCCCCTGCAGTTGTCAGTAAGTGGGAATCGCCCTGTACCAGTGCAGGGGGGGGGGGGGGGGGGCACTGAGCATCGAGCGTCTTAATAAACTGACTTGTTCAAAGGGCCCGACAACGGTGAGAGCCGTATTGAATAGCAAGAGCGGAACTCCAATGCGGAAGGCCCCACGGCTCTTACCAATGAATCACTCAGCACGCTAACAGGGCCCCGGTCATTGTCAAGGTGTTTTACCTCTGCAAACACGTGTGTCAATCGCCCTCTTCATAGTAGAGCACACCGTGGTAATGAAACAGAAACGGGAACATGATTTCTTGTGTTCTAGATATAACGATTAACGATAATGACGGTTCACAGGCTTGGAAATTTTCCCTGCTTGGCCAATTTCGAATGTTAGGGACTTGGATGTTTGAACAGTGAAGGAAATATTTGAACTTTGTGTATAGCCATGCAGTACAATTTTCTCCATGATCTCGGACGAAAACGACGTTGACAATTTGTGCCGTTCGATTGCTGCGAGTGGTCAGCGGTCAGAGGTCATAAGGGCTTATCCGCTTTATATCCCTTCAACCACAGAAAGCCATAGCGATAAGGGAATATTCCTCTCATGAGCGGTGCCACGCATTTTGAGCAAGGGAACAACCTTTCAGGTGGTTTCGGGCCTACTAGACAAAATTGGGTCTCCTCGCAGAGGGGCTTCCCGGTTGAGACTATCTAATGAGTCTGTTGAGCTTTGACGGGCAGAAAAAGGGAGCCAACGCAACAACTTTATCGCCATTCTCTGTTCCAACTTCCTAGAAATTACCGTACCTCCCTAATGTGGAGGAACATCACGTTTCTCAGTGATTTCGTGTTCTTAGAAGATATAGGCAACCCCATGTATTGGGTCACTGAAACTGACAAAGGAAAAATGGACATCTAAGGCACATATTACAATTTGTAAACGCTACCGTGTTACGGTGCGCAGCTATTTTTGTGACTGAGCCAGCTGAAGCAGCGGAAAGCAGCTGTTGTAAATGTAAATCCAATTTGGAGATCATAACCTTTTATGGGGTAAATGCATCCTTGTCTAGCGACCGATGCGGTAACGATATCCTATGATTTGGGTTTTAGGTCATGCCGCTTCCCGTTGACCTGTGGTCACAAAATTTTCATATGCACCAGCTCCAGACATGTTTAACACGCTTTAAAAAGCCGTTTGTCTGTCTCGCTAGTACTTTTATTCATAACATTTTGAGAAAAGGGTCACATGAAGACGATCATATGACATGCACACATAAAAGATCGCATGCATACAAAAGTCACATGACATACAAATTAGTTGTCTCGAGACAGAAAAGGGCCGCCTCAACACACGATAAATCTTCCTGATCCAAAACAGAGACTTCATTTTATCTCTGGATTTTTTAGTATTTGAACTTTTTTCGTTTGATATGTTGTCCTTTTAAGTTTTTCCCATTCGGCCTTTGTTATTTTGGCTTGATGAATGTTTCACTTTTTGCGATGGAGTTTTATGTTTGCTAGTGTTTGCCATTTGACTTTTTATCAATCCGCTTAAATCATTTTAATTTTTGGGCTCTGCCTTTTTCCATTTTACTTTTGCCTTCTTTGACTTTTTCCATTTGACCTGATCTCACTTCACTTTTTGTGCTCTGACTTCTTGGCTTTTGACTTGATGTCCGGTTGCCATCAAAACGCCTTGCCGCGGCCACATACCGACCATGTAAACGTGTGTTGGCTCCTCCCAAGCTTCCAAGGTCAGCCAATAAAAGCCGGCTATTAATAGTAACCAGTGAGATCGAGCCAGACGGCCGGCGTCATTGGCTAGTCGGCCAATGAGAAGCCCGCAGAGCGTCGACGATGGCAACGCGACAGCCAATGTTCGACAGCCTCGGAGAAGCCGATAGCACTGCGGGGAGAAACTAAACGGCCGAACAAACCTGTTGACAGTCCCTTCTCCAAGCCTATGGCACCGGTCGATACCAAGCCTTCATCGTTCGATGCCACTTAGTCGGCAATCTATGTTTTTAGAATTCTTTACTGAAAAAAGCGTTCATGCGAACTATTTGTGTTACGTCCACTTCTTCTTTCAACTACACATACGAGTTACTTATTTGGACAGAAATTGAAGCACCCCAATCCCCAAAATAATGGAAAATACACTTCTTACCGCAACATCTTTACTACATCTCTTGGACTGGTCAAGAAGAAATACTATGGTGATAGATTCATTATACATTTTGATAATTCCAAGGAAACATGGAAAACATTGCACACTCATCAATTCGAAGCAAAAAAGTATGCAAATCCAACCAGGATTAGTGAGACTAACGACAAAATTATCACAGATGGTCAGGATATCGCAGAATCATTCAATTACTTCTTCCCTGAGATTGGATACAAATTAAAGGACAGGATTCCTAAATCATCATTCAATCTACTCCAACTCATCGCAAACGTAGAAAATGAAATGAACTACACCCCCCCCCCCTCCCACTAATGAGGAGGAATTGATTATTGTTATCTATGAATTAAACAATGTCGGAGCTGGAGTTGGCAACATAAATGCAAAAATATTCAAGTTATCTTATTGGGTCACACTGAAAGCAATTCTTCATCTTTTCAACAGCTGTTTATTATCGGGATGCTTCCAGGCATTTTCGAAAAAGCCGTGATTAAACTACGGCTTTTGGCAGACATCCCCATGCATGCAGACATCCCCATCATCACAGCATGGGCAGATATCCCCATGCTCCTAGCCTATTGCACCGATCGACATGAAGCATCACCGATCGGTGCGCTATAGCCGATATCCCATCCTTTTCAGAACATGGTGACCTTAGGTCAGGTAAAACGTCAACAAAAACGCCCCAAACCACCAAAATTGGCTGCAGACAACCCGTGCCCTGAGTCTTTGGCACCGATCGGCATGAAACTCCCACCAGTCGATGGGCCATAGCCGATATCCTACCCTTCTGGTAGTCAAATCCTAGTGGTGGCTTAATTATGGTGCTGGTTAAATTTTGGAATTTTGGAGTTTTTGTTGACGCTTGACCTCATCTAAAGTCACCATGTTCTGGAAAGGCTAGGTTATCGACTATAGTGCATCGGTTGGTGAAGGTGTCAAGCGCATGGGTGTCAATGGCTCGAAGCATGGGGTTGCCAACAGCCAATTTTGGAGGTTTTCGGAGTTTTTGGTGACGTTTGACCTGATCTTAAGTCACCATGTTTTGAACAGGATAGGATTTCGACTATGGCGCATTGAGTGGTGGAGGTTTGATGCTGATCAGTGCCATAGGCTCGGAACATGGGGTTATCTGCAGCCCTGTTTTTCTGTTTGTTAGCATTTGAAGTGACCTTTGACCTGCCACAAGGTCGCCATATTATGGAAAGAGTAGGTTGTTGACTAAGCAGCATTTAATTATGAAGGTTTGGTGTCAATCTGTGTCATAGGCTCGGAGCATGGAGCTGTCAACAGGTTTGTTCGGGCGTTTGGTTGCTTCCCTCTGCGGGTCGTAGGTTCGTCTCGCCGCTGCCCCAGCATTGCCGTGTGTATACTATTGCTGCGTAGCCGTGACTGCAGCATTGTCAGATGTGTGCGACGGCTGCACCAGTGGTGTCGGGCAGCCAGCCGTCGGACGGGACGGAGGCGTGCGATGCTCGGTGATGTGCGGCCATCACAGCTCCGGCACGTCCGTCATCAGTCGTCACGCTTTCCCTGCGCGTGCAACTGACAGGTGGCCCGCAGACCAGCACAGGCGACAGCAGACCACTGTCGGGCCGGTGACACCATCGTCCAGGCCAAGCACCAGCCAGCCTCAGCGTCACCCGCCAACCTGGGACGGCACAGTACAGACGCTCCACCGGCGGCAGGCTGGGACGCAGTCAGACCTCGCTATCGAGCCGCCTGTCAGCAGTTGACTGCCGCACAGCTCCCGCTGCACAGACACGCTGATCAACACGCCTCCGCCCAGCCAGCTGCGGCTCGCAGCACACGGCTGCAGCGCGTGCCGATACACCACGGCCGTGCCGCACGGCATGCACGGGCAGGCACGTGGCGACACGTGGCGTCGGCAGTGGAGGGCGTGCATCGGTCGGCTGGTGCCACGTGGCCGGGGCGTGTCGGACGGTGGCGGTGTACCTGACCCAGACGGGCCGTAGCACTGTGGCCTGTGTGATGCTCACCGCGGCGGATCTTCTCCGCAGGCGGAGCGGGCAG